TATATTTTACCGCACGTGATCTTCCATTCAATGGCTTCCCTGCACAGGGTCCCAACAGCCGTGTACTTTAACCTGTGTAATAGCAGGTTGCCTGTGTACACACATAAACTAGAGACCTGAGTGCCTCTTCACCTTTCCTAATTATAAATGGAATTCAGGGCCTGTAAGAACTATCAGAAATCTCAAAGCACAGCCACTCAGTTAGCGATTACTTTTGCCATTGTTGAAAACACAGCGTCTCCGCATGCTCACTGCTCATTCCTATGACTAAGTTACACTCACGTCACACAACCCGAAAAGCGGGGTGGTCCAGGTTAGGAGAGGCAGATCTCTGGGAAATGAGATCTTAAATAAACAATACCTATAAAACGGGACAAAGAAATAGACGGCCAAATTTTTCTAATGAGTTCTAGAAATCAAGAAAGCCGCAATGATCTGAGTAACTTAAATGATTATTCAAGAAGTAAAATACATTTCAATTAATACAGTGCGATATGCTTTTGTCTTCAGGAGACGAGCCTATGCTGAAACGCATGCAGTTTAAATATAAGGAATAATTTCTTTCCTCTTAGGGTTGCAAAACACTGTAATGGTGAAACAAATTGATAAAAATGGCATAACCACTTCTGGAAATCCTTCAATTCAGGAAGAATTACATTTAGAAAGTCATCCTGCCAAAAGTGACGAAGGAGTTAAGTGACCTTTCACCATTTGCTCTCATTCTGTAAGACAGTCTCCTGATCATCTAAATCTGTAGTGATTTAGCAAAGTATGTGAATATTTATACAAATAAATATGTGGGGTGGGGGGGAAACCTACAAAAACCAAGGCCTCTGGTCACAGCACTGCCAGGAGGAGAGACTGCTGTAGGATGATGCCACAGGGGGCTAGAGAGTGGAGCAGAAACAGGATAGAAACTACAAAGGGAGGAAAAAGCAAGCATAGAAATCTTTCTGAAATTAACCCTGGTACCAAAACTTAGGTGACAGAAAAGATGAGGAAGAAGAACGATAGGGTAAATTAGGCTGAAGCAAAGTGCTCTGCTCTCCAATATTACTCTTTGCTGTGTTCCTTTCCGGCTTTGGAAGTGAGTACCTGAGTACTCCATCACATACAGAGGTATACACTGAGATGGTTCTTATGGAAAACCCATCACGAATCCCAAGCCAGTGATAAAGAAACTGATGAACCAGTAGTTCCAAAAGCAGCCACGAGCCATGTGCTTAAAGAACACTTACCCAAATGACCACCAAAGACGAAGCATAATAAGAAGTTAATAACATTGCGTTTCCAAACATCAAAACAAAACAAAGTGCAAGAGAAACCTGGAAAAAGCCAAGAAAAATAAAATTAATGCACATAAAACAAAACAGAAAAACACTGCACATGCCTATGATAAAATTCAAACTGTTCAAAAGGGAATATATGGTGAAAACAGCCCATGTCCTATCCCACACTTCAAAATCCCAAAGATCACTATCAGTAGTTTCCTGTGTATCATTCCAGACATTCACATGTACAAATTCTAGCTTCTATTTTTTATAAACCACAAATGGAAACTTAACCCCATAAGCTACACTATTGCTTTCTTTTACTGTTGCTTCAGAGAGCTTTCCACATCAACCTAAACCAATCTAATTATTTTTGTTGAATAACTGCAAAAAGTATTTTGTGCTAGACTTTTACNCGGGAGTCTGGAATTCTGATACATGCTGGGCACTGGGCTTCCCTGGTAGACAATGTGAGGCTTCTACCAACCAGGATGTTGATGGAGCAGGGATGGGAAATCCAGATGGCACTGAGAAAAGGCTCACTTAGTTCCCAGAAGACAGGGAGGTGTGTGTCTTAATAGAGTAGAGCGGGTGGCAATGCTTGTCAAATGCTGAGTGGCCGGGCCACTCTCCTCTGACCAATACCAATGTCAGAGTAAGAATTTATGAGCTGATGTCCTTGATTAATAGTACAGATTTCTAGAAATACCAAGTTGCAGCTGAATTATTGCTAATTTGGAAATAACTGTTTTAGTAGCACTTTTGGGGGGCCCAATACAACATTAGGCTGTGCTAGAAAATGACAAGTCATTTTAACCTGAATCAGTACCTTGGTGGGCTTGTCTTCCCCCCCGTGAGGACACAGATTCCAAAAACCTAAGACTTGGGCTCTTTCCTTTTTTTTCCTGCTCACTCTCTGTTTCCTGGTGACGCAATCGCCTTTCAGCCCTCACCTTCACAGCGGATTTCTAGGAGCTGCCGACTGTCCTCTGTGTATTCCTGCTGTACTTATGTGTGTCACAGCTTTCATTCCATTGTGTAGCAGTTGCTACGATTTGTTTCTATCTCCCACCAGACCATGTCTTATTCAGTTTTGTATCTCTAGGATTCATTCTACCGCCAGGCACGTAGCAGGTACACATTGAATAAATGAATACATAAATACATTTTAGACCCCAGTTTTATGCTTTCAAAATCTTTTAACAGGTTGTAGACCACCCGTTTAACAGCCCAGTTGTTTTGAATATTTTTCAGCAAAAAATTTCCCTGTTTGTGTGAAAACCTGTATAAATGTCCA